GGGGGGGGGGGGGGGGGGGGGGGGGGGGGGGGCGGTTAGCGCATTGGCCTCGAGTTGGGGCTGGGCAGCCTGGGCAGGGCTGGCAGTGGAAAAGGAACGCCGTGTGAGGACAGCCCAGCTCCGGCGCTGCTTGTGGGGAAGCGACTGCCGCGGCTCCCGCGCGCGGCAAGATGGCAGCCAGCGCCCGCCCCCTCGAGCGGGCGGTGTGCGCACGCGCGAGGTGCCCGGCGGCCGGGGGTGGGCTGGGCGGAGGGCAGCGGGGGCGAGAGATAGTGGGGGCGTGTGTCCGGCCGCCGCTTCTGTCACCCGAACCTCGGCGCCAGGTGGGACTCCTCCACCGTAGCCCCTCCTAAGTCACTGACTTATATTATCCTTTGATTGTTGGGCTTGTGGCCCAAGATAATATTAATGTCAGAGTCAGACTTTCTTGGTCTCTGTCCTCGAAGTGCTCAACTCAAAGTAAATTCTTAATATGGGACGAACTTGTTTTCCTTCTTTTCCCGCTCGACTTGGACGTTAAGAGAAGTCTTCTCCTTTACGTGCAGACCGAAGAAGTATTCACAACGTATGTGAGGCCATCGGGCAGGCCTCGAAATGGGCTGATGTGGAAGCACGTTTGAAATGACAGTAAAAAGTATTCTGAGCAGTTTAGAACACCTGACATTGTCAGTGAGGATTATGGTGGTTTTTTGGGACCACTGATTCTCCAACTCTATCCACTGTCTCTCCTCCGATGGTTCCCCTTCATACAAGCCATATAATAATGAAAGAAACAAGATTGAACCCAGGATCTTCCAAGTGGGGGACAATTCTACTATAGACAAAGAGGAGCATAGTGTTAGAAACGTGTGAGTCTGGAAAGATAGGGATATACATGGATAACAAGAAGAACTATATTAAGGTTTAATATTAAGTGTATAAACATTAGGTAGATAAGCTCATTTATACATGTTCTGGATCTTTGTGCATATTTATGAGACTGTAGGGTAACTGATACATAATTGCATTTAATGGACTGTAGTCAGAGCTAAGCTGGAACTTCTTTGATATTTTTTTCCCTCTAGCCTGAGTTGGTTGGAGATGGGAGAAAGACAAAATTCTTTTAAAATATGGAAAGGACTGTTATTAAAAAGGAGGAGGTCCAGAGGGGCCTATGTGTTCTGGACACACAGCTTCCCAAGCTATTAGAGAGGAAGTAGGCAAGGAGGGCTTTGTGGGAAACTTGGCTGGGTTGCCCCTGACCTAGTGGTAGTCTCCTAGACCACCAGGCAGGGGCAGAGAAGGGCCTGTTCACAGCACCCTCATAGCCAACCACTTCCATAGTCCCTACCCACTGTTTGCTCATCAGGGCATTACTGACTCCTGAAAATGCTTTGGCTCCCAATTTACATCCTCAGGAGCAAAGGGTTAACTGTGTGAAGGGCTGAAGCCCCAGTGCCCCAGTCAGGCCATCCCTTGACTCTCACAGGACATGGACTTTCCTGGAATGTAGCTCAGCCAGCTCAAGCTACTCTGCCACACCTCAAGGCCAATTTCAAAGTGACAAATTGAAAAAAGAAAGTAAAAGAGAAGAGGGCGAAGAAAGCATAGTGCCAAATGTAAATATTTTGGAGACAAGTAATGTTTCTCTTTTATGAAATTTTCCAGTGGACCTAGACCAGCCTAACTTACTACAAAGCATTAGCTGTCCCCACTCTCTGTGGCAGCTGCCAGACCTTTGCCATGTCTCTCCCCACCCCTAAGTCAGGTAGCCCATGCTGGTTTTTCATTTGCACTCCGCAGCTTCCCACCCGCTGCCAACTTCTCCCCCTTCCCACAACCTCCCCAGCATCTCCCAGCAGTGCAAAGGAACCTGCATTCCGAAACACTGAGAAGTGGGTTGTTATAAATACTCATATTTAATATTTTCCTCATCTGTCATTCACACACCATGACACACAAAGCACACATACCTTTGTTGTCTATACTGGGGGCTGGTGGTGGGGGCGAGGGGTGAAGGAAGAGACGAGGAATTGAAAAGAACGCCAGTGGTGTTGCTGGTAGTTGTCAGCCTGAACTGTAGAATGCATAAAAGATGTAATGCATGCACAGTCAGAAAGCCTGCATTATCCAGTGGCTGTAATTTTATTACTGACTTCCTGTTTAGTCTGGAGCAAATTTATTTCCACCTTTCAACAGAAAATGGGGTTATAATAACATTGTTGTAATCTTTCACAGCAGGGTTATGTGAATGTAATGCTTAGTCATTTCTAAGCTCATAGAAAAAAACAAATGCATTGTAAATCTGAACTGGCTGTCTCTCAGGAAGAATGCTAAAACTCCACGGGGGTTGGGGGGGTGGTCTCCACCCAGATGTTCCTTCCTGGTGCTTCAGGCAGGGTATACCTCTTTTAGAATCAGGCACACAGTAAAAAAACAGTAACAACATCTGTAATATGGGCCAGTGATTCTCTTGCTAAGCCTAGTAGAGCCAAGGAGGAAAGAATCTAGAAAAGGATGTTCTCCACCCCATATACACAGCATCTCTTGCAGAGCCAGCTGACAGGGTAAAATCAAGTCGTTTGCTGCTATTCCCACAACCAGTTTAACCGTGTAGTTAACGGTGGATGGGAAAGGAACTCATCAGATTGCAGGACGCATTACACCTCAGATTCCCTAATATTTCTGCTCTCTTCTTCCTTCCTTGCCCTAATTTGAAGGAAGAAAGACCACTTTCATTCCTCTCTTAGAGCTCTTGATCCCATCTTCTTTTGCTTTTCCTGAACTTTTATTCATCAGTTATTCCCCTTGCAATCTGCATTTTCCTCCCTCCTTATATAAGTTCTATTCTAATGAGAGAAGCCAGAAAATAGACAAATAAATAAGCAAGATAATTCCAGACTGTAGGAAGTCCTAGGAAGGAAATAAAACAAGGTCATGTGAGGGCAATGGGGCTTGAGGAAAGGACTACTTTAAAGCAGGTACTCAGGAACGATCAAGAAAGGCCTCTGGGGAAGTGGTAATGGGAACAGAGATGTTAAAGATGAGAAGGGAGTTAACAAGGTGAAAAGCTGGGACAGCGTATTCTAGCCAAAGGGAACCACATGCAAATACCCTAATGGAGGAACAAGATTGGCATGGTCAAGGCATAAAAGTGACAGGTAGGAACTTCAAGTTTAAGGAGGTGGCTGGAGGGTAGTACGAGAGAGGGAATGTCGTGCACAGTTGAGTTGAAAATGTAGGCCAGTTTGTGCAGGGTGTGCCAAATCAAGCAATGTGGTTTGGTTTGGTTTTATCCTAAGTTCAGTGGGAAGCCATTGAAGCATTTTAAGCAGGAAAGTGACATGATCTGATTTATTTTTTAAAAGGTCGCTCTGACTATTTATGGAAAATGGACAAGAGATACTGGGTTTCTTCTAGGAAAGTGGCAACTCTACTTATTCCTTAAGATTTGGCTTCTGCCTCCAATGGTCTTCTGAAAATGTTCTCTGAAATATTACCAATTCATTTGTTCAGTACTTAATTATTGGGCACAATGTGACAGGCAGTCTTCCAACAAACGAAAATATGTGCCCTCATGAAGCTTACATGTTAGGGATTGCCTAGCATCCAAATCCAAAGATTGTTTCAGTCCACAGTTTCCTTCCCCTCTCTGTAGCATTTCACACAGTGGACCACCCTGTCCTTCTTGACTTCTTTTTCTGCCTTAGGTCACCAAGACCTTGCAGAGTCCTGGGTTTCCTCCTGTCTCTCTTCCTAGTCATTCTCTGGGTCCTCCATCAACTCCTCTTCCTTCTCCTAAATGTTAGTTGTTTAGACAATTCTGCTTTCTTTTTCAACAACAGCAATAAAGCATGTTCATTGAGCACCTGCTACTCACCAGTGAAACAGAATTAATAAATTCTCCTGCTCCTATTGCTTCCATCATTAGCACCAAGCAGATTGTAAATGTCTCCAGTTTCAAGCCCTCGTTTGATCTCCTAGCCTTCACTCCCACTTGTTTGTTAAATATCTCTCCATCTAGATGTCTAATAAGCATTTTTCTGCTTGAACAGTAAAAATAAAACTAATCATCTTCCCATCAAACCAATCCAAGTGCTGACTGCTCTATTTTTGTTAATGACACCACTCTTGCAGTTAAAACATTCTGACCCTCTTTGACTCCTTTTTATTATTCCCCACATCCAAGTTGCTTAGTCCTTTAGATTCTAGATCTACGTTTCTGCCTTTCCTCCCCTGCTTTCCATTCCGGCTCCACCTTAAAACTAAATATTGCAAAAACCTCATAACTGGTCCCTCTATTTTCAGGCTCTCTCCTCTCCATTTCATTTTGCACATTGCCTCTATATGTGTCTTTTCTCTCCAAAATTCTAAATGGGTCACTCAGTGTATCAAAGCTTTCAATGGCCCCCATAGAACTCATCTATTCTCAGATTTTTCTTTCACTTTGCTCCTACGATTTCCTTATATAGCAGTGGAACCAATGACTATATCAGGTCCACTATTTTCTAAACTTTATACTTTTGCTCAACCTGATAGTTTTATCGGAGATTGTTCTTCCACTACCCAAGTCTTTATCTTTTAAATCCTTCATCTCAAACAACATGACTTTCCTGAAGTCTTTCCAAGTCTTCCCAGTATATCTGATCTCTCTCTTCTATGAATTTACATAGCACTTTGTCCTTCTTTTATGCCTTTGTCTTGCTCTGTTTTATGTTTTATAAATTGGAAGTGTTTCGAAGGCTGGGGTTCTCAATCTTGTCTGCGCTTTTCTATCACCTAAGGAGCTTAGAAAACTACTGATGGCTGAGTCCTACCTCCATAAATTCTGATTCAGTTGGGGTGGGGTAGAGATTGGGCTTCTAAAATTCTTCCCAGGTAATTGTAATATGCAACCAGAATTGAGAACCACTGCTTCAAGGCATGTCATCCTAATCCAGGCTGAAATAGGCCACCATTCTTCTGAATTTAGATAAGGCACAAAAACAAAAAA